ATTCCAGTGCTAACTGGCCCAAGAGACACTTACGGTTTCGGGTTTAGCCACAAATTAAGCATCAATAAGCAGCTTGGGTTCCATGCCAGAGTCGGATAGCGGAGGTTGGAAATTACGATGGCGGACCCTGGATCTCGTGTGTTGCTTGGTGTTGTGAAACCAAGCAAAATACGAAATTGGACCCTGCAAAAGCTGATTTTGGAAGGTTCTAACAAACACAGAACACTTGCAAGGATTGCCAACCGCTTTTGTTGCCCCTCCAGCTGCCGATGTGATTTTGTGCTGGAAAAGAACAAACCATGTCTCAAATCGTGTCAAAACGCGCTTTTGGAGCCAGGAAAAGCTGATTTTGGTATGTTTCTGAAGAAACAAGTTAGTAAGGTTTTTCGGGTTTAGCTGTATAAAATACAGTTCTGATACAGGGTCTGGTCTTGCCATGCTATACCACAATCAAGCCGTGGAGACTAAAAAAACTTGCCACGTGCATGTCTTGTATTCCGGGAACCATGTTGTGAGATCATGCCAAAATGCGAAATTGGACCCTGGAAAAGCTGATTTTGCACGTTCCTAACGATAACAGAACATTTGGATTGCCCAGGAACCATGCCGAAACGTGATTTTGAAGACAGGAAAAGCTGATTTTGGAGTGATTCTAGTGCAAGAGACAATTAAGATTCAAATCTCGGGTTTAACCAAAATTTTAAGCATCGGGGGTGGAAATTACGATGGCTGACCCTGGCTCTTGCATTGCTTGGCAATTGTTGTGGAACCAGATCAAAATGCGAAATTGGACCCTGGAAAAGCTGATTTTGGAAGGTTTCTATCAAACACGGAACACTTGCAAGGATTGCCAACCGCTTTTTGTTGCCCCTCCAGCTGCCGATGTGATTTTGTGCTGGAAAAGAACAAACCATGTCTCAAATCGTGTCAAAACGCGATTTTGGAGCCAGGAAAAGCTGATTTTGGTATGTTTCTGAAGAGACAGGTTAGTAAGGTTTTTCGGGTTTAGCTTTACTTTATAATACAGTTTTGATACAGGGTCTGATCTTGCCAAGACATGGAGGCTAGAAAAAGCCTGACAACATGCATGTCCTGCATTCCGGGAACCATGTTGTGAGACCATGCCAAAACGCGAAATTGGACCCTGGAAAAGCTGATTTTGCAGATTTCTAACAAACACAGAACACCTGGCAAACGCAGTTTTTGAGCCAGGAACAATTGATTTAGACATGATTCAATTGTACGAGACAATTAAGATTTCGGGTTGAGCCACAATTTTAAGCATCACGTGTATGGCTTGGTGGTGTGCAACTGGCAAAGTGCGAAATTGGACCGTGGAAAAGCTAAGTTTGATGTTTCTACCAAGCACAGAACACCGGCCAAGTGCAGCAGTTTTTGTCTGTTCAATACAACATGCTTCAAACCAGCGTAAACCCAGTTTGGAGACATGAACAGCTAATTTTGCAGAGTGTCTTGCCAAAAGACAATGTATTTAGTTACAATTTGGCCGCTAGAAGACCTTCCTTAGCGTCGACATGCCACAACAGAAATTAGCTCGTGGAGGAAAGAAATGCAATGCTCAACTACAGACTTGTATTGCAAATTGCATGGAAGTCAAACTCAAGACGCTGCTTTGCTACAGTTGATTGCGTGGCTTACTTGAAAACGCGGCTGCTCATACTCAAGACAAGACCAGTTCATTTGGCTGGTTATAACAAGACAATGAGTAACCGAGTTGGATCCCATGGGCGGCCTGCAAGGCACTCGGGCTGAACTCTGCATAAATCTCGGCCTTGCCTTTGCCGCCCAGTTTGCTTTCCATCTCAGACCATCCGGAAACCAGGGCGAAGCCGCTCAACTCCGAAGTTGAAATGGCCATGGCAGCAGAGTCTACGGCTGAGACAGTTTACAGACAGCGCGCCAAGACCTGGAAGTCCTCGAGACAAACTGCGACATACGTCGTCACTGCATCCACGACAAACACCGCACTCAGCAGGGGACCCACCAACATACCATAAGCATGCCGGAAGTGCCGGAAGTGGAGGTTGAAGAATGGGCACAAGACCTCGGCACATGCCAGGTCCGTAGAGGAGACTCGAACATGAAAACATGCGATCTAAGGTAAAGACCAAATGCCGCCATCATACTGCATCGTGAACACCCAAAAACCTTGGCGAGCTCATGGTGGAAGGCGAGGCAAAGAAAACACCAAGCCCATGACCAGATTGGATTGTGCTCGCCAGACCTGGGCGAGCTCAACGAAAACTCTCTCACTACTGCATAAGCATAGTCAAGCTCAAGCACCAACAGCACGCACCCCCAGCTTGTTTTTCGCAGGTGGAAGCCAAAAGGACTTCTGGGGACATCAAGACCCATTGCCCAAGCTTTGTGGATTAGAAGCCAAGCTGACCCGACTTGCCTAACTTCAATGACAATGAGTACCAACTTTTAATTCAAGTCATCCGGATCATTATCTCTGTTTATTTTCCTGGCGGGCATCGGCTTGGCTCGTCCCTTGGCCTTGGCCTTGCTTAAAGACCCGACAACTTTAAAATGTCCAGGGCTGTCCTGGCCGGGGTCGGGCTGGCTCATGCTGTCGGCCTTGCGCTTCTCCTCGTTGGTGCTGATCGCGGCCTGGCCTTTGCTCTTCTCCTCGGAGGTCGTGATCTTGGCCTGGCCGTTGCCCTCTGACTTGCCCTTCTCTTCGGAGCCCTTGCTGAGGCCTTTGTCCTCTGCCTTGCCCTTCTCCTCGGAGGTCTTGCCCGGCGGGCCTTTGCCCTTGCCCTTCTCTTCGGAGCCCTTGCTGATGTTCGGGCCTTTGCCCTCTGCTTTGCCCTTCTCCTCGGAGGTCTTGCCCGGCGGGCCTTTGCCCTTGCCCTTCTCTTCGTTGCTGAGGCCTCTGTCCTCTGCCTTGCCCGCCGGGCCTTTGCCCTTGCCCTTCTCTTCGGATCCCTTCTTCCAGATGTTCGGGCCTTTGCCCTCTGCCTTGCCCTTGTCCTCGGAGGTCTTGCCCGGCGGGCCTTTGCCCTTCGTGCCGGAATCAGGGTTCTTGCCTTGGCCCTTCATCTGCTTGCCGAAGTCCTTGCCCTGGACCTTGCCTTTGCCAAGGCTGCTAGGCTGAGACCCAGACCCAGACCCCAACAAGCCCGGGCCAAAGCGTGCGCGAGTCTGCTCCTCAATGAAGGCCTCGTCTTCATCCTCCGTGACACACTTGCCATACTGCTCCTCATACTTCTGGGCAAAAATCATCCTGGAGATCGGGGCCGACCAGTCCGATGCTTCGGCAGCTCCCTTCGCCCAGCCTTTGGCGAAAAAGTTATCCGCCCCGTAAAGGCGGCCATGGCGGATGCCCTCCCGAATACCAGACCTGTAGCCCTCTTCTCCTCCTTCCCGAAGACCAACTCCGTACCCGGAGTCCTGAGTACTCGTGCACGGCACATGCCAAAGACCACAAAGCAGACACTAAGAGTCTAAACGAAGAATATCTGAAAACTTACTTGCGCTACAAAGTTGGACAAAACATGCCAAGACACCCACCCCGTCTGGTACTGCGCAGACCCGGCCTCGATGGCAGCTGTCATCATTGCGTGGCTCTGCTGCGCAACGCTGGTGGCATCGTGACCTCGGTTTCTCAAGGTGTTTGGGGATTGTAAATGAAGTAGTTTGAAGAGAACCCAGAGATCGTTTCGGAGTGACACTTAGAATTGGGGGGAAAGAGGGAAGTGCTCGGACGAGAGTCGGGCACTCTCGCGCTGCTCAATCTTGCGGGCCTTTCGTCCCTCCCTGTCGCCCCCAGGCATGGTTGACTAAGGACCCGCGGGCTGCTAGACCTAGACTTAGACGAACTGGAGCCCAAAGCATGTCGGATCGATGCGGTTGCTCGAGCAGCACATGTAGTCGGATGTGTGCGAAAGAACACAGCAAGACCTAAGACCATGCTGGCTGAGGACACTGCCTTGTGAAGCAAGTCCAAGACAAAGACCTGAAGTCTCGACCTCGCCACGGATGCACGGACAACCGTTGCGGACTTCAAAGAGAAAAATGTAAGTAGAGCTGATCTCAACAGCATACAGAAGGCCTGAGCAAAGGGAGAGACCTTCCATGGCAGGCAGGACTTACCCTTGCAGCATTTAGTCAAGATTATCAGCGAACACGGGCCTCCTTCCACAGCCCGAAGACATCACGAGCCATGCCGCGATGGACCTCCCCATTTGCTTTCGTTCGGCAGGCATGTGTGTGTGTGTGTGTGCGTGTGAGTGTTTCTGTGTGTGTGTGTGCTTTCATCGAGATCAGGTCACTCAGGCCGACAGCACCTTCCCGGAGTCCCGATTGCTGGTACCGAACCTGCCAAGACCAAGAGGGCCATGCAAAGTTTGTTACAAAAGGTGTAATTCAAGAATGTCGCATCATGCAGTCTCCGCAATGCAGATTCTTTTTGGCAACTTGGCTGGTGCCGGCTTCTGTAGCATGAAAGACATGACACCTGCTGCAAGGCCTCTTAGTCATCTAGACAATCCCACTGTTAGACTGCTATGAAACTTAGACCTCATAATTTTGATATTTAATGACAATGATGTTCCAAGGATTGCCCGGAAGACCAAAGACAGCAAGCCGTGGCGTGCTACTGCCAACTCCAGCACTTTCAGGCTGAAGCCATGTCATTGCGATGATCCAGCACGACGAGGGCGCGCAATTCCTCATAGTTCAAGTTATAAGCAGACTGAGGCTCGTTGTGTCTGTGGCTGAAGATGAACGCAAGGCAGGCCACCAAATTTGCAAGTGCCAGGACCTCCAGCTTGGAGACCTAGACCTTGACGAAGAATGAGGCCAGACATTAGTCCGGGCCTCAGACTCAAAGACAGATGATCAGAAGGCAAGCGAGAGACAAATGCATGTTCCTCTCTCCAGTTCAGACCAAGACTCCTCGTTTCATCTCGATCCATTGGCCAGGGATGTTTGGGGACTTCTCGGGCTGCCACTTGTACCAGGCCCCCCTTGTTTCAACGACATAATCGAACCTTCAACTTCTGCAACGAGATGATCGAACCTTCAACTTTCTGACAACATTGGAATGAAACGAATCCAAGTGGCTTCCATTTGACATATTGCTCCCCAACTTCGTCGTCCTCCTCCTCCACCGTGACCTTGGCCTCAGGCTCCGTCGTGATGCACTTGGGCTTGGCCTTTGACTTCGGCGTCTTTGTGGATGATGACGATGCGGTCGGGTCAGGGGCGTCATCTGGTCCGCTGGCTCGTTCCTCCTTTTCCTTTTCAACCTTCTCCTTCTTGGCCTTCTTGTCAGGCTTGGTGGGTTTATAAGACCCCTTGCCCAGGGGAGCAGACGGAAGACCAGGCTTTGGGTCTGAAGACAAGCCTTCTGAGTAGTCTGGTCCTGGTCCTGGTACAGGAAGGAACATGAACTGTGAAGCCGCTGACCCCGGTTTGAAACCTTTGTCTGTCGGAAGACATAGACCGCGGCCATCGCCTCAGGTTTGGATTCGGATGAACGAAGGAGACTTTGCACTGAAGGCAGCATGACAGGCCTTCGGCAAAAGAATCCATGCGTTCACGGCAAAAAGCCATGATAGACATGCTCATGTCCGGTGCCGAAGACCTAGGTTCGCACCAATCGAATCAGCTGCTTCATTGAAAGAAAACTCAAGCTCGTTGCCACCAAGTGTCCTGATAGACAGTAGTTTGGGAACAATCATGTGGCAATCTGCCCTCCCACGAGGGTGGGACATCAGGGCACAGACCGCCTCACAGAATTGTTCCAGGGATCTCTTTGATATCAAAATTATCACAAAACCAGAACAAGAATTGAAGCCTGAGAGATGACAGACAAGTGGCAGCCCACGTCTCGACGTCAAGATCGAGGCGGCATAAAGCCAAGTAGAGGTCCGGCGCGTTGTCCCGCACAGCAAAGACCATCTCAGTATCAGCAATATACTCACTATAAATAGACCTGCTTCTGAGATTCTGTCCTTGTAAAACTTAATTGCTGTCGATTTGCAGCCTTGACCGCGTCCATCCAGCACTGGTTGTCGATTTCGCCAGTCCTCATAGGAGACCCGGCCTCCCTTGGGCGATAGAGGTAGTCCGATGAGACAGGTGGTGGAGGAACCATGTTCGAAAAGAAGACCTCTGGACCCTTTGCGGATGCCATGGGACAGCAGCCGGGCGAGGTGAAGAAGTAGAAGGCCCTCTAATGGATATCCCTAAATACCTGACCTAGACATGGGCATTGATAGCCTCAGACTTAGACCCATGAATGCGACATGTCCGACCATGGCCTTGATCTTCTAGGTGGCAGCAGTCGAATCAACCACTTGCTCGGAGTGCAGCATGCAAGTCGTGCACAGGATCTGATCTGAACGGACAAACTGCCAAACCAGCCTTCTCGGCCACCGCCATTGGTCGATGAACGGACCTCACGTTGCAGAGCTGCCAACTTTAAATACAGACACCCGCCCAGCCTGTCGCAACGATGGCCTTCGACCTGGCAAGGTGAGACCAGCCGGGTTAGGACGCAGAATGCACACACATAATGATAATAACTCATAACTCAGTCTTCTGGAAATACGTTACTGACTTAAGTCAGAGCACAGCTATGGCTCTGCGAAGTGCATCTGACAGGCTCCACTGCCACCTTTTCGTGCATCTGGCCGGCTTCCCCCTGCTCCGCGGCAGATGTTGTGAGACGATCATATCCCCGGACAGACCAAGTGCACGAAGGACCTGCGACCTGTCGAATAAAACATAACATCATTGAAAAGACTGCAAGTCACAGTCGATTCACACCAAAAAACAGGTCTTTGCCGCCTTTGCCGGACGAGGCTTCACTTTAGGATTGACTAGCAGACCAACAGACATGTCCAGCCAAAAGATAAGTTCTCCCAAAGACCTGGGCGCGGCTCACGGGATAGACCTTTTGCCCTTCAAGACCGGGAGTTTGGTCTTGGGGTCAAGAAGCGTTCTCCGCAAGTCCTCTGGCAGGGCTTCTGCGAGAACTTGAAGGCTAGGAAGTGACCTGACATGGTGCCTGGCCTTTATGAAGTTTTCCACAAGGGCTTCACAGGCCACCTGCAGTTTCTCTACAGCGCCCTTCTGGATCCGGATCTTAGACCCAGGTCTCAGCTCTTCGAGGATAGACTTGACCTGCCTGTCAAACGGCTTGAAGTTCCCCATCGTGCAGGTCATACTCCCGAAGTGCGCGATCTCCTTTTCGACCAGCCTTCTGTACTTCTTGACCTGCCCGGGCTTGCCCTCGTCCGGGGCCTCAGCCATCTTGTCAAAGACCTCGGTCTTGACCTTTGCTTCGGTCTTCGTCTTGACCTTGACCTCGGCCTTGAACCCTGATTCTGCTTTGACAGCCGCCGCCCTGCTACCCGAGATAATCTTCACATTTCTTTGGATATGACGGACCATGATGGCAAGCCCTGACCGGAGACCAACCAGCCCACTGCTTCAGGAGCCGTGCGGCTGAAGTTCTTAAACCGTCACAGACGCAGTCAAATGTAATGCAATGGCGAGGCTTCATCAGGCACCAACAAGGGAATACCATGCCAGAAGCACCGGTAGTGGAAGTTGAAGCAGCCCAAAAGCACCTGCCGGGTCAGTACAGGAGACTGCAACCTGAACAAACCCGGTGGAAGGCTACTAAGATGGCAAAGACCAAGGCCGTGACGAAATTGCATCGTAAAAGCCCGCGACCTGGGCGAGGTCGTGGTGTCAGTCTCACACTTCCTGCACAACCACAGTCGAGCTTGCTAGCATAACGACCCCCCCATCTTTTTCACGAGACCAGCCTTGCAGGAGGCACGACCCAGCCCTGAAGGACCTCTGCCCAGTATATGTCACAAATCCTGCTATGCACTTCAAATTAATAGTAAAATAAGTTAATTAAGCTTATGCTATTTTGTATTTCGGGCTTGGGCATGGCTCGGCTGGCCGGAGCTGTGGTGGTTGAGGACAGCAACGACTGTGATCGCTGTCTTTGAAAAGGCAGAGCAGCATGAAAAACGTCTGCAGTCTTGTAGACCTAGACTTGTAGACCTAGACCAGTGACCCAAGCACGATTGGTAGCATATATTATGACAAACATCTCCTGTCTAAACCACTTCAACGACCGCAGGCCGTCATGCTGCCGCCCAACTTGTCACTGCACTGCCCAGCTCTCGGCTCAGAACAGGTGACTCGCAATTATCCGGCGCCAATCCAGGATGCCTTTGCCGTCCTGTGCTGGTGCCACCTGAGCTTGCCATTGCTGTTAACATCACCAGCATAAAAACAAAACGCACTTGTGTCTTGCTAGAGTGGGAACGAGTCGGTCAAGCAGCTATTACTAGAGGCAAGTGACTAGACCTCCGCAGCCAGACAGGAGGCAACAACAAAATGGCGAGATTGGCACCGGTCCTCAATACACCCAACACAACAGCGGTTGGCGCTGGCATGTCGATTGCAACACCAGATAAAATTGAAAATTTGTGTGCCGGGCAGCTGCGAGACCTGGCCTTGTCTGAAATGATCATCATTTGGAGGGTGCTTTGCCTTAGATCGAAGAATCCGACACGAACCGCCCTCTCTGTCTGCTTTTCTCTACTATTAAACTCCAGCACAGCCTAGCAGCCTTTCTTGCCACCCTTGCCCTTGCCCTTCCCCTTGTCCTGGTCCTTCTTCGGCCGTTGCTCAAGCAACCATTCCTGTTTTTTCTCATCCCAGACGTACCATTTTCCGTACCAGGAAGACCAGGACCGCCCATCGTCCAACCATTCTTCGTCGTCATCGTCGTCCTGGACCTCCTCCTCAGGGTCCTGGACCTCCTCCTCAGGGTCCACAGGCGGGTCGTCCTCGACCTCGGATTCTTCTTCCCCTTCCTCATCCTCCTCGTTTTTTTCCCCCTCCTCCGGGATGTCCTCTTCCTGTGGGCCTTCCGGTTTCTCAGACGGCGGACCTTCCACGTCCTCTGGATCGTAATAGTTGCTGGTGGTCTCCGAGTCGTCCTCCTCCGAGACCTCCGCGACCTTCTCCATGGCCTTCCTCACCAGTTTTTTCCTCCTTGACGCGGCCTGGGCCTTCATCCTCTTCAACGCTGCGACATGGCTCTTCATCGTTGCAGACACTTCGTCCTCGGAGGTTGTCGTGGCAGCAGACCCGTCGTCCGTGGACGTGGTGTCCTCCTTCTCGGACTTGTCATCGTCACGACCTGGCTCGTCAAGACCTGGCGGCGGACCTCTGGGGGTCTCTGGTGTCGTTGGATCTGTCGGGGTCTCTGTCTTTGGTCCTGGTGGATCCGGGTCCGGATCTGTCGCCTTGGGGGAAGCAGGCCTGGTCAAGTCCTCCCGGTGACGCTTGTTCCCAGACCCTCCATCGCCAGTCCCTCCATCGCCAGTCCCTCCATCGCCGTGGCCTCCAGAGCCAGACCCTCCGCCAGACCAGTCGTAGTTTTGGTTGTAAGTCCAGGCGGGCCTGGTGCTGCCGTAGGAGTCCCCGAAAGTCGAAGACCCGGCACCATAGTAGCTGCCCGTGCCCTTGCCCTTAGACCCGTCCTTGCTCGGGGGGTGGTCGTAGAGGACGATGAGCGTGTCCCCTGAGATTGGAAAGACAGTTCATGTTGAAAGGAACACAAAGACTGCAAGAAGCCGTCAGGCCGAGTCGCCCGAGTAGGCCTCCATCCGCTCCCTCACATAGGCGCTTATCGCCTTTGAGACATCGTGAGACGCGGCCCTGGGCTGGTCAGCATGGGGCATGGAACACCGGACAGAACATTAAATTAGACATTGCTGACATGCGACTGTCTTACTGCAAGCAAGCAGCCTGGCAATGACCAGGCGGCACACAATTGCGTGTGCCGCCTTGCGGCCATCTTCGTGAGACAAAAGACTGAGAATCCCCTCAGCTCTGGGCTTTCACCATCACTCCATGCCCAATGCAGCAAGAGAAAATTAAATGCAACCCGAGAAGCAATCCAACTGTCTATGTCGGCATCGAGCCGAACCATCGCCGCGTAAATGTCAGGAGCGTTGCTCCGAAGCTTGGTGACGACCTTGCGACTAAGTAAGCAAGTCACCACAGGAGGTGATTATTTAATATAAATTAGGGTTGGTGCGAGGGTATTACACCGCTGCAGTCAAGCCGCGCACTTGGTGGCGTCCTCCCAGATCTCTGGCTGGACCTGACCAGACCTCTTGGAAGTCCAAGTCTCGCGCGGCCGGAACAAGACATCGTCCGAGGGTGGAGGCGGCGGTGGCACCATGTTGATGCGAGACATGGCGAAGACGATGAGGACCGGTCTATGGATGTGACCCCGAGCAGACAGGAATCCCAAAGGCGATGTGACACGACATGGTTTTGACCCTGCCGTGAAGTCCTAAAGTCCTAAAGCCTGAGCCTCGTGTCGAAAAGGCAATGCTAAGAC